CCTGACCAAGACCATGAAATGCCGGACTTATGTCTCCAGTAACAAAATCACCGGGGAGAAGCTCCATAACACCGGACCGTGAGTAAGATATTGTCATACTACATCCTCCCAGTGCCAAATAGTTTGACCCTAACACCGAAGCGCAGCTGTGAAATGTCGGTCTTAACATCATTCCAGAACCACACGCCGGACCGCACATTATAAACGCCAGACTGAGTCCACTCCAATAAGTAACTTACCGGAGCACTACTTCCGATCGTCGGACTACCCACATTACAGTAAACAACTCACCGGACTGAGCACATAAACCGCCAGACTAAACGCAGGAAAAAATGGGTAAGTGGAAAAGGAAAAAGATAAAGTTAAAAAGTAGGGTAATTTTGATTTTTTTTTCTATTTTTTTTAGATTTGAGATATTAGTTAGAAAATACAGTTTTTGAAAAAAATAAGTGAGAGAAGTTTAGAGTCGGGGTAGAGTGTCTAGAAAGTAAATTTTTGAGGGTTTTTAACAATTTTCGGTATACTTTTTTGAATCACAAGCCTCGACTATAAGGATTAGGGCCGGGGCTAGGCTTACATGAGACAAGTATCATCCTTAACAATATCAAAAAATGTGAGACTGTGATAATATTAGGGATACTGTTTACAAAGGACAAACTCCACAGTGGACCGACTCCTACTAAACCTCAGCAAGGCTTGCAGACTTGATTTTGGAACTTCACAAAAATGTCAGAAGCACGCTCGTACTGTCAACCTATTATTTTCTACGGGGCCTTCCCATTTGTCCACAACTTTACAAGATGCCAAAATTTAAACCTACTCCTACATCATGAAAGGTAAATGTTTTACTAATAATATTTTGCTTAAGATTCTTAAAAACATAATGTGAGATATACACACAAAAATTACAAATTTTATGACATTGACACGTATCATTATATGACTTATGCCCTTATATATGTATCATGAAATTAAAAAAAGAGCTCTAAGTTCTAAAGACTGGACATCTTATAAAAAATTATAATGACTATTTTTTTTCAATATTTTAAGTGTTTATAAATATACATTATTTTTAAAATTTTAAATTTTATGATTGAAATTGAATATAGATTTTTAAAGTCATAAGATTTCCAACTCTGAAATTATATCTTCCAATAAAATTTATTGGTGGCCCTTACCTGTATAGGGCACATTATGTAAACCTTACATGTCATTGTAATACACATAAGCGATTAACTATTTAAAAATTTGTCCATCATCTTTTTTTATTGAATTTCAAAAACTCCATTAAAATAAATACCCATTGCCGGAATAGATGAAAAAGGATACATTACTAAATTATTAAAAATCAGATATATTTTAATAAATTTCACTTATGAGTTAATATGTTGATAAACTCGTCATTGATGTTTAGAGAGAGCACTTGGTTTACCAGAATGACTTGTTCCAATTAGTTTCCACTTCCAAAAATATGGCAATAAAGCTGGTCTAATTTAAAGCTAATATTCATGAATGGAAAATTGTTTCATCGTCAAGCAGATAGAGTTCTACATAAGTGCGCGCCCCGCCTCATCAAACTTCTAACTTAAATATGGATGTGGAAAAATGGTGGTCCCACCAAAATCTAAAATAGATGGTGTTGAAAATACATCAAAAAATAATAATTTTATTTTTAAAATGTATTTAGCTATTTTTATGATTATGTTCATCATGGTGGAGATTTCCAATCTTAAAAGTTTCAGATCCAAAATTCATCTCCAAGATGGACAAGTTGGATTTTATTGCATAGCATAGAGATTGAAGGGGAAGTTGTATAGGAACGATTCTTTTATGGGACGGAATGTTGGGCGCTCAATAAACATATCTATAATATGAGCAAAGATGAGATAAAGATGTTGAGATGGATGAGTGACAAGACAAGAAATGTTAGAATTTGGAATGAATACATACAAGGGAGCTTAAATGTGGTTCCGATAGGTGATAAGAGGAAAAAATACATACAAAAAAATTTAGATGTGGTTTTCCGAAGAGCGATTAGTACCCCTTAATGATGTTTTAAACCTTACCAGTGATTACAGGTTGCGCCGGTTGTCTCTAGAGTCAAATAATTCAAAAAACTTAAAAATAAAATTTAAATAATGGGAATTGGGCTATTTTGGAGTTGTGGACTCATTCGAAATGGAGATTTCTAAAAGCCTGGTTGGTTATAATGCAAGGCAAAATGTTCTTATATGTCAAGTTGCATGAGCAGGTTAGGTGTGTATTGCGCATTGAACCATTATTCCAAAATATTGTCAAATTGATGCCATGAGAATATGGTATACTAGAGTCTTCGAAATGTTTGTGGTGAGTGAATCCATTTACCTTCTTCTGTTTTTTTGGGAATATGAATTTGTTATGCTAAGAGTAAACGTCTTGGCTAGTGTTTGAATGATTGACTCGGGCTGAGTACTCAGCCTGAATCCTTGTCAAGCCAAAAAGGGTTAAAAGAAAAAAAAAAAAAAACCTTTCAGTAATATTAAACAAAACAAATCTAGATGAGGTTAAAAAAGTAGTGAAATGGATTTTAAAAAAAGCAACTTGTAACAAATGGTATTAGTGTAAAAATCAGTATTAATAGTCAAAATATTTTCCAATATTTATCAAAATGATAAAAAAAACACAAAAAATACATATTAAAAATAAATTTCTTATTTTTTTATAATTTTGAAATTATTTTTGAATTTTATTTTTTAGATTCCCGAGTTGGACACCCAAGTCCAACTCAAAGATATTTGGGCTCTCCTGGGTGACAAGGCCGAGTTACTCGGGTGAGTCTGAGCTGGTCAACCCGAGTAATCAAACATTGCTTTTGACATCATGCTGTGGCACGGGCTACCTGATTACCTCTACCTAGCGCCTCTTCCTATTAATCATTCTTTCAAAATAAAAAAACATGTAAATGCCTAGGGCCTAATGCGAGGGCCCAAATCTAGTTCATTCTTTTGGTGCAGCTTCAAATAAGGCCCAACTTCAACTAATGACTTCAAGGTTTCACTATCTGCATGATATATTTCTGTCAGGTGCTTTGACAGACATGAAATGGGTGTCGACTCTTGTAGAAAAAATCGAACCGAAATGGTTAATCAAACATGTCTTGGAAGCGGTTCAATCAATCTAACTGATGGACTGGCCGGTTCAACAAGACAAGTCTTAAGCAGTTTAAAAAGTATTAAAAAAAAAAAATACATAAAAATATAATAAATATAAAAATATATTTAAAAAATAATTAAACAAAACACATCAAAATTAATGATTTTTTTTTTTTTAAAGAATTGTGCCCAAAGGTTTTTTTGAAAAGTTTCAAAAAAAATGGGAAAATGTAAAAATAAGTATTAATTACCAAATAATTTTCAATATTTGCTAATGATAAAAATAAATAAAAAATACATTACAAACAAACTTCTTTGTTTTTTTTTAAATTATATATATTTTTTAATATTTTTTAAAAAATACTCAGTCGGTCATCAAAATCCATCAAAACCAAAACCAGCTAGTGGCCGGCTCCGATATAACCACATCACATCGGTCACGTTTTAGATTGCCCGATTTTCCTTCAATGGTGTGGACTCATTTATGTCCAAATTCCACCTTGCCTCGTCCAATTCGTGCAAGTACTAAGTCAGATGATTAATTAATTATGTTGGATGAAGCTATATTTTACAAATGTATATATATATAAGCTAAAAATAAAGAAAATAGAGCAATTCCACTTATACTGGGAAATCCTAGTTTCTATATTTTTTTTATTTTTTTATTTTATCATTTAGCAGAGAGATACCCTATTTTTGATAAATATTTATAAATAAATAAATAAAAGGGGAGGCATTATTGCAACTTTTTGCCTTTTCATATGTTTGGGACGACCAGGTGATTGGACGGCCTTTTTCACTAACCTTTTCTGAGACAAAAAGTTAAAAAGATAACAAATGACAAAAAAGGCTCCTGGAAATTAACGTGGAAGGGCTAAAAGATTCTGCAATCATTAAGCTGTGAAGTTTAGCTTCACAAGTATTAAAATACCCCAAAGGCCTATACTAAACCAAGTTTACTAAAATATCCAACAAGTATACGTAAAATACCTCAAAGGCCCAAACAAAGCAAAGTTTACTAAAATATCCAACCACCCCAAAGGCCCAAACTAAGCCAAATTTATTCAAATATCTAAATACCAAGGGCCCCAATTAATTGAAAAAAAGTTATGATGATGATTATCCAAACACTAAAGGCTCATCATTTAATTGATATTGTGATAATAGTAAATTCTCTAATTTTTGCATTAAAAAAATAGTTAGGAGTGGCAAGCATTGTGTGTACCTGCCCAAACCAAGTCAGCCCGTCCCTAAAAGATTAGGGGGTTAGACAACAACCTCAAGGTAAAGCTGTGTTGAGATTAGGCTAAGGTCGGCCCAGACAAATCCCCTCTTTTTTTTTTTTATTTAGTTTGGCCCAACCCATTATGTTGTTAAATTCGCTTTGGAGTCTTTTTCGATTTATTGAGAACAATGAAGCAATTCGGTGCTTAACGAGAAAACTTCAGATTTTTTAATAATTTAATATAAATAAATTAGATAATTATGTATAAAATATATAAAAAATAATACAAATGTTTTTTAAAAAATACTTGTATATAGGTATTTCTTTTCCGATCGAAGCAAAACCCAAAACAAACCGAAAAATGCCTAAGCATCCCAAAGCGGCCTGAATCTAACCACAGCGACAACACCACGCTTCAGTTTATGGTTAAAATGTAAAAGCTTGGCCGAAACGAAACGAATTTGATAACATTGTCAACCCGGCCTGGCCCGATCCCGGTTAGGGGTAGAGCCAGGGTTGGGCCAAGGCCTCTTGGGCCCGATGACGGTCAAGTGGTTGGCCCTTTGGGAACTAAAGGCTATTTTGACAATTTAACTCAAAGCAGGGTATTTTAAGTAAGGGTATGGTATCGTGGATTCGTGGTCCCTGTATAGCAAAGGACCCAGAGAGTTACGCCTCATCTGCAGAGACAGGTATTTTTCGGTAATTTAGCCCCCTCTTATAAATTGTATAGAAAACACAGTCGCTCTTTCTCTTTCTAAGCTCTTTCTCTCACTAACCATGGATGGTGAATCAAACCAAACCCTAAAAACCAAGTTATCTCTCTCATCTGAGTCTCTCTCTACATACATTGGCCTGAGCTTCGCCCTCTTCGTAGGGTTTCTTCCGACCTCTTACCAGTCTTTAATGGCGTCTCTGCAACTTCAGAATAGGAAGCTTTCGTCCAAGCTCAGGGAAGCTGAGGCCCTAATTGAACAGATGAAGATGAGGAGAGCTGAGGATTCTAAGGCAAATGCTAAGGTAATGGGGATTTTTGCAAGCCAGAGACAAGCGTGGCAGCAAGAGAAAAACTCTCTAGTTCAGAGGCTGTCCGAGCTAAAACTGATCACAGAGAAGTTACAGAAAGATGTTGAAGAGAGAGAAGAGTTCATCGGTGTGGTTAGAGAGAGATCGAGTGATTTGCAGGGTCTGGGATCAAGGGAGAATGGGAGAATTAGGCTTTCGGACGGGTTCAATGGTGAATTAGGGTTCGAGAAAGGGGCAATGAGTGTGATACAAGGGTGCAATGGTGAAATAGAGGTTGACAATGTGGAAATTAGGGTTTTGGATGGTGTTAATGGAGAGTTGGGGTTGAAGAAAGGGGGAATCGAGTTTGAGAACGGGAAGAACATGGAGTCTCAAGCTTTTGCGGGCGCGTTGCAGGGAGATGTTGGGGAGAGAGAAGAACATTCGGGGCCTCTCACAAGGAGGCCGTATGGGTCTCAGGTTTCAGGGTTCAGAGAGAAGGGGAGAATTAAGGTCTCTGAGGGTTTTAACGAGGAATTAAGGTTTGAGAAAGGGGAGGTTAGTGTAACAGAAGGATTTCCGAAAAAGTTTGTTTCTGGAAAAGTGGGATCGCCTTTGAATGAGGAACTTAGGGCTTCTGAAAGTGTTGGCGATGAATTTGAGGTAGGAAAATGGCGTGAAGGCAAGAGATTCAGGGTCTGTCCTCAAAGGTACAACAATTGGCTGGTGCGTTCTCTCGGCTTGCGGCTTCTCCTTTTTTCTTTTCTCTAACCTCTCTGCAATTAAACCTGTATCGCTCTTTGTTTTACTTTTACTCATCATTCATTCTCTCCATCTCCCCTGTTTTCATTATCTCCCTAATTCTCTGTTTCAATCTTTTTCACTATTTTCTTTCTTTTTATCTTTGTTTTGTTTACCCAGCTTTTTTAGTGCTCTGTTTTGTGTGTACGCACCCTTCATTCTTTCTCTTCGTTTTGCTTTGACACCTCTCTCTCTCTCTAAACCATCTCCTGCCTCTCTCTCTCTAAACCATCTCCCTGCCTCCTCTCTCTCTAAACCATCACCCTGCCTCCTCTCTCTCTAAACCATCTCCCTGCCTCTCTCTCCAAACCATTTCCCCCCTTTCTCTTTCTAAGGCATTTCCCTCCTCTTTCTCTCTCTCTCTCTAGTTTTTTTTTAAAACTACCCACTCATCTCCCATATTTGTTGTCTGGAAACGACGTTGACAAGCTACAGCGTGCAGACATCTAGACATTGCCAAAACACGCTTGACCTTTTTGTGAATTTCGTTTTGTTTGTGTCTGGGCGTTTGGGTAACGTGATGGATTCTGCTTTGGACTCTAGTCCAGTGGCTCTTACTCCGAGAATGCAGAAAACCACTAAATCCAAATGCAAATAAAAGGATTCCCCACGTAGTGGATTATGATAAGAACCCCTTTTCTTCTTGAATCGATAGAATATGTACCCGTATATCTAATGTTAACAACGATGCCTTTTGATGTGGGCTGCGTAATTTATGGGCAATTTGTTAAAATACATGTGAGAGATGAACATTTTAACATTTTACCTGTGCGTGGTTTGATTTAATTTTAAAATACCTATAAAAAATCTATACGATCATGAGTTAGAATGGTTCCAAGTGCGTGAAAGAGTCTTTTGAAAATTGACTCGGCTCAGGTACTCGGGCCTTGACTCAGCCGAGTAACTCGACCGCGTACGAGTGGAGTGGACTGGTCTGACTCAAGCACTACACAGAATCAAGAAAACAAGAGTACATAAATTTTAATAAATAGTTAAAATAAGAAAAAAAGAAAGAAAAGAAAACGAAAGAGGAAATCGAATCCATTAAAAGATGAAAAAGAGGAAAAAAATTCTATAAAAGATGGGTTATTGAAATTTTTGGTTTAGAACTTGAATATTTTAAAAAAATTTAAAAAGGCAGAAAAGATAGGAAAGTTCCTAAATTATCTTAAAAACTATTAAACTACCAAAAAACTTAATTCTAACTGATATCCTGGAGTTCCTTTTCTTCTCTTGCAAATTTTATATTTTTTAAGAGGTTTATAAAGGTGGGGCGAGTTGCTGTGGTACTCGCCCCTACTCGGCCTTGCCCACTCTAATTAACTTGATTGGGTCCGAGTGGACTCGGGCAAGTCATGGAATGCTGGTGTAAAATGTTAAATAATGCATCTCTTGTGGGTCTTCTGATAAATTTATCTTAATTGTTTAAAATTGCCTATTCCTATTCACTATAGAATGAATTTTTGTATGTGATTGTGTGATTATATTTATCATAAGCTATTAATATATGCATTTCTGTCACTTTTGGAACTTATTTTCTTTGTCTTACTATTCTTGGTGTCGATTTATTTTGCCTTGTTGAAAATTTACCAATAATCTGTATAACTGCTTTAAAAAATTGTTTGTCAATTCTCATTTTCAGAAATTCGGGACTTGAGTGAACCCATATGTAAAAGCAAGTTTCTTTCTTTCCCCTATTTTTGTCCAGAATAAGTCACATATCTATCTAGTTTGGTTGATTTGGCTTTATTCATTCGAAGTCTGCAATATCGTTCGTCTTAGGTTTGGCTTTATTCATTTGAAGTCTATTGTATTATTCGTCTTTAGCGCGTGTTTTATTTTTTTTCTCCCCTGTTAATGCGTTTCTGCTCCCATTAATTCTTGATCTTGACTTTCTTCCTACCTTAGATCCTTAATCTTGATTGTATAAGGGTATGAACTTTCTTGTTCTTTGAACTGGGCCCCATTTCTTTCATTTTCTGCGTTTTGTCATTGTACTTTTCTTTGTTTTCCTATGTTGTCTCTTCCTCTCAAAACACTAGCCTGAGAACTCATTCGCATGATACCGGCCATTTCCTGTGTTTTTCACCCATTAGTGTCAAGATATGTACTTTGTAAAGAACCAAGAATCTCTCTCTGTGACAATTGTTATTGGTTGCAGATGGAGAAAAACATTAAAACTTCGGAGGGCATGGATGAAGAGAAGGTGATATGTTCATTAAAGGAATTATCAGAGGCTCTTTACTATGGGGATTATTGCTACCCTCCCTCTGCTTCCAAGCTTTGGAGCGAGAGAGCCTTCAACTGGCAGGTATTGAGCTTTCATGTCCTTTCAAGGAAACCACATGGAATTATGTTTTGATTGTTTCTCTCTAGTTCTGTTTGTTCTTTGAACTGCTCATAGTTAAAAGAATTCAATAAAGGCATATTCCAATTCTAATTGAGACATGCCCTTTCTCTTTTAATGGGAGGGGAGGCACAGTTATCGTTGTGCTCTCTCGTTGGCTTCATCTATTTACTAAATTCTATTTTCCGATTGTTAGGATACGCTTCCTCCATCTCACGAATCACAATATGACCTGAAGCATATTGTACCCAGGTATAATTTGCATTGTTATTAAAAGATTTTTCACTATTGGGTAACTGAAGTGCATTGTCTAAGTAGAATTTGGTTATTCTTCGGAATAATATCTACATTTTGAATCTCAATAAAAATTATCATTGTAATTTAGGGCTTTCTTTTCCAGGAGGGAGTCTCCTTGGAAGATTGATGGAGAGTCGATGGGCCTCTCTTCTAAGCTGAAGTTTCTTGAACAGGATTTAGTAAATTTGGAAAGTGGTGCCGATAAAGGTAAGGCGGCTTGTGTTTCAGAGATGATGAGAAAGCAGGCTAAGAGATACCAAGCACTTGTGGGCAAGGTCGAAGAGTTATGCAAGAGAATGGTAAGTCATTGCTGCTGCCTTCTATTTATTTGGATAACTTTGCTTAGTTTGGGTAATTGATTGAATTATCCAGGATATTGAGTCTTCATGACTGCATGATATGTAATCATTTTGGGTGCAGTCATCACCATCCATTCCATGAGTATGACTATAGGGCATGTTTAGTCATATTTGGTGCAATCGCCACCTTCCAATCCATGAGTTGGCTCCTGATGAAGAGTTAGTGGGATCCACCATCATGTCTGACTCTTAGCCCATCACCATCCAGCCCATTTGATTGGACAAATTTTGATCCTCATGACCGTAAATTTCTTATGGTTGTGAGGATTATAGTAAACTTTACCGTTTATGGTCATTTCAAGGGAGGTAAACTAAAGATGGCTGTGTGACTTTCTTGTCGAAGAGGAAATGTGAGGTAGGACTTATTGCTATCTTGCCTATTGTCAATTCCAAGACTATCACTGCTTGATCATTTTTCCTGGCAAGATTCAATTGTGAAATTGATCCGGAGAACAGTTTCAATCAGCGCTAAGCCCTGCCTGATCATTCATGCTTATCTTTGGGCATTTGTCATGTTCTATACACATTTCTTTTAATCGTTTTCTATCATGTTTTGTATATATATATATAGATATATTCTCTCTTACTATATCGAGCATGCTCATATTTTCAGCAGGCAAGCGACCCTTGTGAACCTAACCTCGATTCAGGAAGCCGAAAGCATAGACAAACTGAGTACTTGAGTGAAGTTGCCAATATTCAAGAGTGGGCAGCTGAGACGGGGCATAGATTGGTGGCTATAGAATCGGTAACAACTCCAAGTCGTTTAAATAAAGGCATGGCTGAGCTTGCCAAGCCTAGCATAAGACGCTCTCTTGATTCCACTAAAAACAACTTCAAGGAAATTCAGAGGATTCTTGAGATTAGGCTGGCTAGAATCACAGGTGATCTAGAGGGAATGCTAGCTCAAGATGGTATGTCACATGTAAGTGATCCCTATTTCTCGAGATATTCATATAATTATTGATGAATTTGCAGAAGCAAATGTATTTGTACGTATGTAAATCTTAGAATTTGGTTTGAATCGTAGAATTTGGTTTGAACCTGCAACCTCAAGGGTGTCTGTAACAAGAAGCACCATTCACTTGAGTGATAGGTTCTTCCCCTGTATCTTGGCATGTATATATTGGTTATTGTGTTCTTCAATTTAGACCGGAAGCTCAAAAGAGAGAATGTATGGCTTATGTCACTTGGCTATTATAATGTTCCCAACGCTCTCTTACAAAGCAGGTAAAGTGGTGATTTTATCAGAGAGAGAGGTAGCTAAAGGAATTTTGTTATCTATATTGGGTAGGTGTTTTTCATTATCTCATCAAAAAGAGTTTTGTGGCCTCTGATACTTTCTAAAGTTAGAGAGTGTGTGTGTTTTGAAGCCGGGAAAGTATAGAATGAGACCGTTTACCTTTTATTCAAAGTGGTCACAATAATCTTGACCATTGGATGTAAAGTTGGGTGGCTGCAATTGTTCTATTGATCAAGGTCAAATTTCAAAATTTTTTTTTTCAAATTTTGTAACACATCCAAGCGCTATCAAATTTCACATCAAATGGTTGTAAAGAATTGTGACTACTTTATATAAAAGGTAAAAAGTCTCATTGTATACAATTCTTATTTTTGGTACTTTTGTGTGTGGAGAGAGAGAGAGCGGCTTAGCTTTTTGCCCCGGTAAGATTTTACAAATTTGGGAGGTTTACGATGGATCAGATTAAGGTTAAAAACAAATAGATCGGTGACCTAGATTGCCCATCTGGAAACCAAAACGTCTAGTAAAAAATCTCAAAATTTTTTAAAAATAATATGTGCAGTTATGTTAAAGAATCGTCCAAAAGGATGTTCATAAGGGGAATTGGCCGGTTCCTGATATTTTGGGGGACTTGGATTGACCTCCCTCTTATTCCCAATCCGGATCGCTTTTTTTATATACCCTGGATCAGATATTCAGAAGTTCCCCAAGTACTTGGGGGTCGCCCCAGGTATGCTACCCTTGATATGGGATATTTAGTGACTTCTTCTACATGTAATTTACCATATTGCGAAATAATGAAATAAAACCACCTCCAACTGAAACAGAAAGGAAATGGAAACATGGTTACATCTATTGCAAGTAGAAATGAAGGTTAACTATAAGTCTCATCGACATAAACTGAACTAGAAAATAAGTCTTTGTTGTCTTTTCTCTAAATACCATGGTGGAATTATCGTTTTCATTATTGGAGGAAATGAACTTAAGCAGCAGCAGCTGCTTCTTCCTGTAATTGCTTTACCTTGGTAATGTAGTCGCTCATTGCCTCATCCTTGGATTTTCCTGTCAAAATAAGAAAGAAACAACATCATCACTTTTTTTATCCATTTGGGGCAACAAATTTAATAAATGGAATTAAAAAACAAATATTTGAATATCCTGAGGTCGAGGTATTTTTTTATTTTTATTTTTATTTTTTAAACTCAATACCTTCAACAGCCTTCCATGCGTCCCATTTTGCTCTGTCCCTTGGATTAAACATCCCAGGTCGGCCTGTGAAATAATTTAATAAAAAAGGAAGATAATTTAATAGAAAAATTTAAAATGAAATCATTTCCATTCATATTCTCAGGAAATCAATTGAACTTTTTTTGAGAATAAAACCATCTTGGATGACAGAGCAAGCAAGTGCATAATAATCTAAAAAGAAAAATTGAGAGGAAGGCCAAAGCTCAGAGGCAGATGTACATCGTTTGGGTGGAAGAGGTCAGGGGTTCAAACCCTTGAAAGAAGGAAAAATGGGAGCGACTTCAAACTTTGGACATCAAAATGATTAGTCATGAAGAGGAAGCTAATATGATTTACAAATTAGTTTTTGTACTCATTGAAACAGAACTTTCACCATAAAATTAAAAAAAAAGGACTACAGTACATGTAATACTACATCCTACATTCAAATCATATCGCCCAACAACCCCAACAAAAAAAAAAGGAAATTAATAATAATAACAATCTAAATGAGAGAGAGAGAGAGAGAGAGAGAGAGCGCACAAACAAAAATAGCAAGAGAAATTGAGAGTCTGAGAGAGGAACACAACAAACTAGTAAGTGAAAATGAGATAATGCATAGCAATCTAATAAGAAAAATGCAACACATAACAAGAGTAGAACGAGATGAGAGCTTACTAGTGTTAACAGGGCCAACAGTGGCTTGCTTGTAGAGGCCATAGAGAATAAGCTTATCAGCATCGGTGGTGGTTGGGGGCAGACTCTTGGCTTTCTCTGCATATTCTTCAAACTCTTCCTAACCTCCCCAAAACAAGCAAATAAATAAGTCAAATCAATATTGCGTGGTATGGTCTCAAGAGAGACCCGTGGGGTCACGAAGAAATTGAAAAGGGTAAACTAGAGAATTCTCGGTCTTGAGAAATAAATCTAGGAATTGGGATTCTAAAGACCAAGGTCTTATAAAATGGATTGGAGAACAAAAAAAATAAAAAATAAAAGCTCAGGCTGGAACCAGCCGTTTCCTAGTCCCGATATTTTGGCAAAACCAGACCGGCTGCACTAGTTCTCCGTTTACCCTTTTTCCTAAAGGTTGTTAAGGACAAAAAATAAAATAAAATAAAACAAAACAAAAACAAAAACGTTTGAGGCCATGTGGAAGTGGACCCAAAACTGTCCCGAAAACTCCCTTTCCCTTTTTTTTTTTTAAAGGTTGTTAAAGACAAAAAAAAAGAAGAAGAAGAGTTTGAGCCCATGTGGAAGAAGACCCAAAACTGTCCCGAAAATAACCTCCGCACCACTAGCTCAAGAAAGACCACTATCAAGAAATGGAATAGGAGAAATTGACTCGGCTTTTGGTGAAAATTACTACAGTATTAAGAAAAAAAAAATTAAAGGAAAAAGTTTATATAAGGTGTCCACTTTATACTGTATAAGTAGAGTACACCTAAAAAATAAATAAGTGAAAAAGGTTGCTTCATCCCTCCAATTGATCATTCATCTCGACTTCGATATATATGAATATGAAAGAAAAATTGAATTTCAAGTATTAATCATACCCAACTTTGTAACGTATTATGTAGATCATCTATTATCAAGATATTTATATGTTCATAGATTTGTTAAATTTACACCACTTTTTGGAACTTTCAATTTCATAATAAGGGTAAAAATATATTTCAGGATGATCATAAGAGTTTGCGAGCCTAAAATTATAACGAGATCCGTACTGTGATTGTTTAAGGTTCACACCTTATACAAACCTCATCCAAGAATGAAACACGCATAAAAACCTCAAAAAGAAGTAATAAGTGAAGCTGCATAAGCCTTTTCAGTAAATGACGAAACCAACCTTGCTTTTTAAACTAGGATAAGTGAAAAAGACGCTTTCTTGATTCTAAACCTTTGAAGATTTACAAAAATAACATTGTGCGCATTTATCCAATCGAAGCAGTAAAAGAATTAGGGGAAAAGCATTAAAAAAAGCTAAAAATGGAAACTAATTAAAAATCCGTACATGGAAAGCAAGATTACAACTACATTTTCTAAACTGAAAAACCGAAAATAATATATTTTTATGGCAGTGCCATCCATAAGAGGAAGAAGAATGAAAGCCTCGCTCATTAGTCATTGTGTTTTAAAAGGAAAAAATGAATAATAAATACATAGTAATATTTAAAGAAAGGAAAGAGGAAAGGTGCTTCAACATAAATCTAGGCTTCCCTTATTTTTAAAGGAAGAAGTTTATAAAAGGTTGCGGCTGAAGAAAAAAGGCACGCCTTCTTAAAAGTGTAGGGTTCTCATAATCCATCGCTTGTGGAATTGGAAATCTCAAATATTTGGATTCCATCCAAAATTGTGTACACAATTGAATGGAAAATAGATGAATACATCTAACCATCGAATACAAGAAATATAACAAAAACTAAAATCACACCACAACTGCATACGATTTACATGGCTCATCCCGTACGGCTATGCCCACGGTCTGGCCAAGTAGAAATTCACTATCACAAAAAAAAACCCTATCTGCTACATTGCTACTGAAAAGAGAGAGCAACTAAAAGACTTCAAAAATAAAAACCTTACCAACTCAAAACTCATAGGAAAACCGCCTAAGCCATGTGTCTCTCTTGGAAACCCATCGCTGCCCATCCCTAAAAGAAGTGACATTAAAGGAGTACAATGACTTCTTTGACTCCCTTTTATAAGGAGGGAAAGGTTTCTATACTTCCCTACTATATAAAATTTCTATACTTCCCCATCCCCATTTCTATACTTCCCCGTCCAACCACAGATGAAATAAACCATTGACTGTTTGATTTAGATCTGATGCCTCAAAGTATTTTAGTTTTAGTTTTTGTTCTACAAATTATATGTATATGAAATTTGGTATATGCTATAGGCATACCTAAAAAAAGTATAAACAAACTTTTAAGGCTATTTTGATCATTTTATTTTATTGAGAATTATATATATATATTTTCTACCATTGCAAGTTCAGGAGAAGAATGGTGATGTCAAAATGTTTTGTACAAAAAAGTTAAAAATAAAATACTGTAGAAGCGTGACTTTGTAATTGATCCATCTCAGCCGTTCATTCAAATATAACGGCTAGATAAAGGGACGTATAAAACTACCATACATTAGGGGAAGTATAGAACTACCATACATTAGGGGAAGTATATTAGGGGAAGTATAGAAAGCCTATCTTTTGAGAAAAATATAAGTGTGAGGTTTTTATTTTCACCAAATCTAAAAAAAGTCCGACGAACAAAGTTGTTCCCAACTGAATAAACGTCTAATTGATGTACAGATGGGGGACTAAGATCCATTCGAGGAACATGGGACTAATTGAAATAATGAACGTCCCAAGAGACTCATTATTTCAATTGAGATAATGAAAAATCATTTTATTTTTTTATTTGAAAGCAATTGGATTTTTTAAAGTGTCAACCACACTCTTTTCTTGTAAACACATTTTGGGATATATAATTTTGTTGGAAGAAAATATCGTAAAAAATAAAAAGTCATTAAATTGCCATAAAATATGAAAAGTGCTTAAAATTTTTGAAATCATTCTTATTTCATTCTCATTTTTTTGTCTCACATGAAAAGTACATAAATAAATAGAAACGTAGAGTAACCTATCTTTCATTTCCATCTTTTTTTATATTCAAGATTCACTTAGATCCAAAGAAAAACATAAATAAAACTGAAATAAAGTCTCCTAAATTATACCACATAAAACTGAAATAAGCTGAATAAAAATTTAGGAGACTTTAAAACTGAAATAAGCTGAATAAAAATTTATAAGTAGAATAAAATAACGAGGAAAGAAATCTAGGAAAATGTTTATATAAGGATACAGTCTCATACAATTGAAGTATGATGCACTTCCAAAATTGTTCCGGCATTGGAGAACCCCCAATTCATCACTTTGACCCCGAGAGAAAAAAAGAAAAAGAATTCCAAGTCCAAAAAATAGTATACCTTGTAATAAGATATATGGACCGTCTATTTTCAAGATTTTTAAATAGAAGTTTTATTTTTTAGATTTTTAAGTGTTTATTTATCTGCTCGATCTGTATGATTTTTAAAATTTAAAATTTCATAACTAGGTCGAAAATAGATTTTCAAGCCATCATATAATTTTCGACACTGGAATGACATCTCTAAGCAAATTTTAAGGGTACAACTTACTTCTACACTATAAGGGTATAAGGAGGCAACCTTATACAAATGTCACCTAAAAATATAAGAAGTTAACCTTGTACTTTTAAGGTAAGGCGCACCTCAAATTGATCATCGCAAAACTGAGATGTATGGATACACCTCAAATTGATCATCACAAAATCGAGATGTATGATTATAAAATGAAAAGTAAAAATAATTATGAAATGTAGTTCATTTTATAAAAAATATGTCCTTTAACACGAGGAGAATGGTTTGAGGCCTTGGTAGTAGTATTGTCGAGCCCCGTGGATAGGTATCTGACTCCATTCTCATTATGGAGAGATTTCTGAGTCCATCTCATTAAAAAGTGAAATAGAAAATATCTCCATATTCCTTATTTTTAGAGTTTATTTCTTAATAAAATTAAGCTTTTTTCAACCCTTGGCCACTTTAAACATATTTAACCTATTTTTTAACCTAAACAAAAGTAAACATATTTAACCTATTTTTTAACCTAAACAAAGGTGCAACTTTAAACATATTTAACCTATATTTTAACGTGCAACTTTAAACATATTTAACGTATTTTTTAACCAAAACAAAGGTAAACATATTTAACCTAAACAAAAGTGTCATTTTAAACATATTTAACCAATTTTTTAACCTAAACAAAAATAAACATATTTAACCTATTTTTTAACCTAAACAAAAGTAAGAAAAACATGCTCTTTCTAAAACCAATCTATTTTCTCTCTTCATTTATATACTCCAAACTTCTCTTTAAACCTATTTTTTAACCTAAACAAAAGTAAAAAAGACATGCTCTTTTTAAACCCAATCCATTTTCTCTCTTCAATTATATACTTCAAACTTCTCTTTAAACTTATTTTTTAACCAAGACATGCTATTTCTAAACCCAATCCTTTTTCTCTCTTCATTTATATACCCCAAACTTCTCACAACTTCTCTCTTTCTCTCTCTTGGTGAGTGTTTCACTCTCTCTCATCATCTAAACACTTCTCTCTCTTTGTGTTTATCCAAAAGCCTCTCTCTTTTGTGTTTATCCAAACATCTATCTCTTTCCTATGGTAAACTCTCACCACCAAACATATCAAACATCTCTTATTGTTTATATCTCTCCTCTCATATTTTTTCAAACACCTCTCTCTCTTATGTTTATCCAAATACCTCTTTTTTTTCTCCAGTAACCTTTCACCACCAAACAAATTAAACACATCGAAGAGAGAGAAAAAAGGGGTGCGACACATCTCTTTCTCTCCTCTCTATATAGTTATTATGGAGAGGAGAGAGAAGAAAAGGGATGCGAGGAAAGAGAGAGAGATAACTCCAGTTAACTTTGAGAGGATAACTTCTAGAAAAAGCATATATTGAGTTGTTTAGCCCAAAAAAGAACTAACTTTGGGAGGATGGCTTTTAGAAAATGTATGTTTTTTTAAATTTGTTTGGCCCAAAAAATGAGATAACTTTGGGATGATAGCTTTTAGAAAAGCTACATCTTTTTAGATTTGTTTGACCCAAAAAAGAGATAACTTTGAGATGATGGCTTTTTAAAAAGGGAAAAGTTTATATAAAAACGAGGCTCAAAACAATCAAATTTGAGCCTATATCAATAATTTTACTAGAAGAAGTTGTTTTGATGCCCGAATATTTTCAAATGGATCATCTTGAAGCATGGCCATGAGAAAAAAAATAGATTTCAAATTTTGAAAATAGTGTATTTTGTAAAGTATTTTTTGACGGTCAATTTTCAAGATTTTCATAGATATGTCGATCTACACTGTTTTTTAAGCTTTAAACTTTATAAATCATAGATCTGTCCATTGTTTTTTAAGTTTTAAACTTTATAAATCATAGATCTATCCACCTATATTATTTTTGAAGCTTTAAACTTTATAAATAAATATAAAAAGATATTTTAAAGCTATCACAAATATTTCCAATATCGAAACTGCATTTCTCGATACTATTTGAAGGGTAGGGCACTCTAATGTGATTGTTTAGAGCCTATGCTCTATACAAACCGCACCCAGAAAGGGAAAAGTTTATATAGAGCTCTATACAAACCTAGGCTCAACGGCATCCTTTAAAAAAATGTATGTCTTTTTAGATTTGTTTAGCCCCAAAAACACGTTTGAAGTAGCTAAGAGGTGAAAATAAATAAAATATACAATTTTTATATTTTAATGTTTCAAGATATCTTTCAAAACTTTGGTTAAACCTCAAAATAAGGGGTATCCCAATATTTTTCAAAAAAAAAAAATCCTTTTAACATGAGTAAAGAATATGCCACGAATTATGCTTCAAATAATATATAATGCTTCTCCAATACATTAAAAAAACACGTGTCAAAAAATTTGACCATTTCTATTTTCATGATTTCTGCTTCACATTTATTTAAGATATCATAATAAACTGAAACAAAAAATTATAAAAAAATTGAAATAAGAAGAAATGGAAAAATTGCGGACAAAGCTAAGTTCAATAAACCCTTGCTAGTATTTTTTATTCTCGAACTGCATTTCTATAATTCACCGAGTCTGGGAAAAGGACGAAATTAGAAGACAATAAACTAAAATTAATAAAATAAAACCATTAAGTTAATACGAAAAAGCAAAGCACTTTTAAAATGAATCATTTTTTTAAATCATTGGAATTGTCTCATAATCAGGCCGATTAATAGTTCATCTGAAAATTTAGAATTCACCTGTGTTTAATTTTTACTTTTCCGGTTTACTTTTCCGGCATTATGAAAAGGTAAATAGCAGTGTCTAACGAAAGCAAAAACTGAAATTAAAGGAAATATTTTTTGCGAAATGAATAAATTTTAGAATCTGACTCGAAAATCCTTCAATCGAAGTAAAAAAAAGAAGACCAAAACTCAAAAAACAAAGCGAGTCTAAGATGATCAGACGGTCCAGATCGAACATCGAGCCGTGCGACCGAGAGATCTGGACCTTTCGTTCAATGAGGGCTCATTTTCTTGAAACTGGGATGGAATCAGGGGAAAATCATCCATTAAAGCACAAACTTTATGATAAAGCTGCAAATAAACGGTCCAGATCTGATATTACAGCAACTGGGAGAACTGGACCGTGGATAAAATGAAGAAACATTTATTTAGAAACTAACATGCAATCAGGAACAAAATAAAGCCATTAAAGCTCAAATTCCACTGCATGTACTGTAAATCTAAAGGAATCTGACGGTCCAGAGATGTGTAGCGTCAATGGAACGTACCTTCAATCCCATTTCCTTCTTCTCCACCTATGCCTCTTTCGGTTTGTGGAAAGCTCTGATTCAGAGAAAGCAGAGCAACGGAAACTGTTTTATACCACAACAAGGTAAAAATGACCTAATAATATGTCGAATTTGCGAAAAAGCCCCAGAATCTTACTATGGATGAGAGGGTAATTGAACTGCTCTAATCTTTTACACAATGGACAACGCACCCTAATGATTAAAGAGCACAAAATACATTGCCCTTTTGAGCCTTGGCTTCATTAATAAAAAGTAAAGCCTCACCTTAAATCCTTATATCATTATAGTTATTTGGATGGGGGCTCTAAAATTAATTTTCAATTCTAATTATGAAATTTGAAGGTAAGAAGTATAAATCATGCCGATCTATAAGCACTTAATTTTAGAGTGAAATGGATAGTTTAGATAATGTGTTACAATCTACGGTATTTTTAAAGCTTGAAATCTTTTTTTTTTTTCTTATAACTGCATGATCAAGGCTGAGCTGATCGATTTGAAGATATTATAATGCATGTATCAATGAGTTTTGAGGTGAGGCTTTACTTATTTCGATTGGGTTGTAGCCCTATCTAATCATTTTCTATATTAAAATTAGTGATATATTGAAGGGTGCGGTTTGTATAGAGTCGAGGCTCTAAACAATCAAATTAGAGCCCACTTACAAATAGCATCGAGAAATGCGGTTTTAATATTGAAAATCTTTGTGATAGCCTTAAAATATATTTTCATCTTTAATTATAAAATTTAAAGCTTTAAAAATAGTGTAGAACGAGCATATCTATGAACACTTGGAAACTTTGAAAATTGACGGTCTAAAAATGCGTTACAAGATGCATTATTATCAAAACTTGAAATCCATTTTTTTTCTCATATCCATACATCTTGATGTTGAGATGATCAATTTAAAGATATTTAAGCATCAAAACAACATCTTCTAATAAAATTTTTGAGGTGGGCTCTAATTTGATTGTTTAGAGCCTTGAATCTATATAAAGTTTTCCCTATACCGAATGGTCATTTTGTGTTGATACTGAATGTTCATTTTGTGTTGTAAAAGGAATTCACACTTACTCATATTTATCAAACGTGATATCAAATGTGAAATCTGACAGCTTGAATAGCTCTACCAGCTTGATTTTCTGTTTAACAATCAAAGATTGGGAGCCCTTTCAACTTAAATAAATGATATTATTGTACAATGGCCTATCTTGTGAGAACGGAAACTCCAATAATCGTTTAGCCGATAAAATACTAGTTGCCTTCATTTCAGTTTTGGACACGGTTTTGGTGAGTCAACTAACTCATCAATTACCGTGCAGTCCCTTGTCTATCTAACGTCCATATCTAAGATGGATATAAAAAAAAATGTTACATCCCTAAAAGTTAAAATGGACGACAAAGTTAACCAATTCTTATAAAAAAAATGGAGGAAAAAGAAAGGAATTCAAAATATATCATTTATATTTTTTGAAAAAGATAAATTCCAAATTAGATCTCATTGAACTCTAAAATTTTAGATTAAAAATAAGGCTGACTCACCAAACACTTTTCCTTTAGTTTTTAAAAAATGATGAAAATGTTGTTAGTGCCCAAGATTGCAACCCGTCATGTAGTCGCCGTAATATTGAAACTAATGTTTTAAAAACTACGAGCCAGCTAGGAGCCACTGAGTGATTGGTTTGGGTCCCCTAAAGAGTCCAGGCCCGGAGTGAATTTTTTATAATCGGTCATCTATGTTAGAGAAACGGTCAATAAGGCCCGAGAATCGCTCCGAGTCTTTTACAAAATTAGTGAAGAAACACCCATGCCATTCCTTCAGTAGAGGCCGTTATTTTCAATCCACTACGGGCATTGCATTATGTAAAACAATATTTTTGCAGATTTTGAATTTTTTATAATATTTTATTTTTCAGAATAAACACTCAACTTTTTAAAAAATCATATGTTTCATCTTTATCATTTTGCAATATTTCCATAGCGTTTATTTTTTTATGTACAATAGTTATTGCATCATGGAAAGTAATATGGAGATTACAATTTTTCAATTTTCTAAACAAAATTTAATCAAAATGCCTATTTTAGTTGATCCATTAGATGCAGACTCGAGCCGGTGCTAGGTGAGTCAAATAAAATGTATCTTGTGTTTTATGACACACCCCAATCTTATCATATTTCACATAACAAATAAAATGTATCTTATGTTTTATGATACACCCCAATCTACCATATTTCGTTATTTATGTGATTAAAAGTAATTGTGATCATCTTATATTATAAGATCGATTTTATAATTTAAAAAATAAAATCATTTTTTTGTTGTTTTAAAAATAAAAAAAAGTATACAAACATACTATTTATTTTTAAAGCAACGGGCTCATAATCACTCTTGTCTGTTAAATTTTAATTCAGGCGGTTGTAGTGTGTTATTGACTAAACCTAAAGTTTAAAAATAAATTTCTTAAAAATAATTTTAAACCATTTAATTTGTCAACGAATGGCTAAAAATGATTATGACCTCCTTATAATAATAAACGGTCTCGTAGCATACAATCCCTAAAAATAAAATCCACGGCAAATGATTTGTGCAAAAAAAGTTTTGACTAAATTTTCCTCACAATTATTAGCATCTACAAAGACAAGGTTGTTTTGAGCATTTAAAGAAATCTCATGACCATTTTGGTCATTTAAAGAAATCTTATTTTTAAAAATCGGTTCAGGCCAGAAAAGCGAGGCCCTTTCCAATGGATCGTCAGTCATCTAACCCAAATTTAGCTTTAGAGCAAAGCAACGGCTGAGATACCATATCTATGTCATTCACTAGATCTCAACCGTTACCAGCCCTAAATACATACACATGTCCAAAACAGCAATAGACACTTAGCTAAGAAAAGAGCCGTAGATAAGAAGATGCAGATATAGGTGACTTAACAGGAATAACATGACACGTGTCAAGTACAGGTTAGTCTAAGTTATGGATAGCGGGACCCATCCATCCATAATTGTAAAAAAAAAGTTTATATAAGTATGCAACCTTATACTGTAGAACTATCGATGAACTTCAAAAATCCATTGAAAAAAAGGTAGTTTTAATGTTGAAAAACCCTTTGATTGATCATCTCGACATCGAGATGTATGACCATAAAAAATAAAAAGATTTTAAATCTCATAAACAGTGTATTTTACAACATATTATCTATATCGTCTATTTTCAAGATTTCTATATATTCATATATCTACTTGATTTTAACCATTTTTAAAATTTAAAATTTTATAATTAAATTTTGAGATAATTTTAAGAATATTTTACAACAAAATTATATACCATGATAAATTTTGAAAGTGCACCTTACCTATACGGATGCATCCGTATGCCAACTCCACCCTTAATTGTAGGGCTCAAAGTGGTGGACTTTACTTTACACAGTCTCTATGGCTTCTATTCTCCACCTTGCTAAGAAGTAAGAGCACTTATTTTATGCTCCTCAGGAGCATAGTCTATTTCTTCTCCCTCGATTAAAAGATTTATATGTGAGGATTTTATCTATCAGAAATTTTGGAAACTACTTAAGAATTATTAGATAATTATTTTTGAAAAAAAAATTTAAAATTTGAGTTTCCTAACTCTTAGATCTCATTATTTAACCTGACATTGTTTTTTTTTAGTGTATAGAGGATAAAATTAGATTTATTTTATTTATTTTTTTGAATTTATTCTATGGGTTGAAGATATTAGGGGTTTTAAAATTAATTCAATATATTTGTGCAAGAAGTAATAAATATCTTTTTTGGTTGTGTCACGTCACCCAATCATTTTATGCCCCTTGTCTTTTGGGGCCTTGTTGGTGAAGATATAACAAAGGACCCGTTTCGATGCGGTCAAGCCCGCACATGTAGAAATGTGGGTTTTTTAAATAAATTGATTTTTGAGATGGATTTTAAGATTTAATTTTAAGGGCATGTATGCAGATCATGAATATGAATAAATAAATAAATTTTAAAATTAGAAATAATAATTCTAATAAAAAAATATTTGAATCGTTAATTTCTATGGTTTTTAAATGGAACACCTACTTGCATCCATCTTTAAGATGGATGCTTTACACTTTCTAGACGGCATATGTAGAAATGCGGTCCAGCAAGCATGAAACAATTTTCCTTTTTCAAATTATTGGTTCTCTCATGAAGCCCTACAGTAAATCCACTGTAAGTAAGCTCTCCAAGTTCTGAATCGACCTCGCACTTTGTACCCCTATGACCTGGGGTTCAAGTTGGGTCAGTATTTGGAGGTGCCCACATGCTGCTATTTTTAAGAGAATAAAAAAAAGAGAGAAAGGGACATGAGTGTAAGCTGTAAAAATTAGGGGATATATTTTTAGTGGGTAAAATCATGTATACCCCTTTCACTGAACTTCCTACATACAGACCCCCTCCAACACTTTCTAATTCTCATCATTGACCTTGTTACAACCCCCCTGGGTGAAATTTTTAGTTTATTTTGGATGAAAATACCCATTATGGTCCAACACAAAATTTTAAGTGTATGGCCGATTTGACCCTTAGAGGGCTAGACCAGACTCGTTTCCAAGAACTCTCCCCTTGAACGTAAATTTTTTTGTGTGTGATTGAGAGGGTCATTTTTCATCCAAAATGACTTGTTTATATGCCGATATTTGGGCGAGAGGAGTGAAATACCTCCCCCTTGGTTCATGTCATCGGGTGTTATCAAATTATGTCTTTCGTCGACCTCACGATCTCCTGTTTTGTAGGCAACCGGCCATGCCAATCAAATATTTCCAAAACCAATGAAAAAATTTATAATGAAATTTTGGGAAAATAGGGATAGGGCTTTTGAAATGTAGGGTTTTCGAGAACCCCTAGCTTGTGGTATCGGGATCCTAAATACACCATCACAACACACGATTTACGTGGTTTACCCCATAGATCTATATCCACGGCCTCGACAAG